CAGTAGGTTTTCTTTCCCAAAAGAAAAACAAAAACATAACTGTTGGGACATTATATACGCTGCTTAGATTTACCGCCCGCATCAGATTTCTACTTGCACTTTTTTGTGATATATGTTTGCTGCCTCGCGGGCGTTTAAGCAGACCACTTTGAAAACGCTCGCGTCATGGGGTAATAAAAGTGTTGTTCTATTCTCTTCGCCGGTCTGGCGTGACGCCGCGTACGGGCAGTGCACATATGTTGCAACAGATATTGCGTACCTGCATTTCGGAAAAAAAAAAAAGGAAATCGTCGGCACACCAATTTATTTGTGCAAGTCAAGCTACGCGTAACTAGATACACTGAGAATATGTATGAAGTTTGATATTCTGCATTCGTACGCGATACTTTATGTTGTCCGTGTAAAATGGGGCTACCATTTTGTACAGTCCCTTTACTTGCGGGCACAATATACAATATCACCGACGGAGTAGATGTTAAAGTATTACAAGCAGCAAAAGCTGTCAGTGTTGGGAGACTTGTCGCATTAAAAATGTTGGAAGAAAGGGGGGGGGGGTGTAAACAAAGCATAAGGGCTGCCTATGGTAATTTTAATGGCAAAAATGTCTGGCATAAATGATACCGTGGAAATGACCTTACCACGGAAGCTTGCGAGCTGCCGCACATAATTTGAATACACTATTAAGGGCACCATATATTATTTTAGAACGTAAACCTAAGCACCCCCTTTAGTTATAAAATACAAATAAATAAGTGGTTCTTGTTGACCCCCACTCGTACTTTACATTTTGAAAACTGAAGCAGTTTCACGTTGAAGGGAAGTTACGTGCATAGTGGCAAGCCATTGGCAATGCGTGGCTTCATGATCTTTTCAGTTTAATGACCCAAGTGGGACAACGCCTAAATTGACAGAACCTACTCGTTTCCTCGTCTTTTTTATATGGAACGGCAATGAACCAACGATTGTGACATATTGCAGTATTTTCATATTTTCGTAATTAACAGCGTTTATTATCGCTGTATTTCGTTGTTGAGGGCGCTTCCTGAGTTAATTGTGTTTACTTTTTTTAAACGCAAATGGGTATTGTTTTTTCGCTGTTTGTCATCATTCAGGATTCTCCCCTGCTTCTGCAAAAATAAAAATAAATTCGGAAGGCACTAATATTGTAGAGAGCTATTGGCCTTTTTGGAACCTATTTTTGCCCAAATATCAGGATAGCTTAATGTACGGTACTACCCTATCGTCGTATCTCGTACTTTGGACTTTAGTTTCGAAACACAGGTAATTGTCGGCTACAGGCATTACCTTACCTACATAAATGACACGTTTTCAGCTCTCTTTATTAAAAATTATAATCCAATGAACAAATATAATCACAGGCAGTGCACCAGAGATGTGCCTGAGTTGGCTCAACTCTGGAAATCTCAGGAGTCTAACTTCGGCATAATACGACTTTGCTCCAAGGCGTTAGTTGGTGCCTAATTACTTTTCTTTGACTTTTCAATGGCTTTCTTTTCGTTTCGCCAAATAATTGCCAAAGTTTCACACTTCAGACAAGGAAGTCAGATATCAACCTAACAACCAGCAGTTAAGCCTAATTCTGGCACCTGCTGGATAATTTTGGCCCAGAGTTGCCATACGAGAACCGAAAAATCGAAAGTGAAGCCTAATTCTAGCACTTGTTCGGCAATTTAGGGCCAAGGTACCCAGACTCAGGCCAAAAAAGGTCAATCTTGTCTCTACCTTGGCTTCCTCGTGGTTTTCAAAACACTAACCTTCCAGCCCCCCAACAGAAGTGTTATTTTAAAGAGTTGTGCTATACAAAACTTTTGAATATTTGATACAGCATTTCAGAGTTTGTACAGCAATCGACATTTGTATTATTGAACTTTTGTTTTTCATCATTCAGGCTTAGGTTGTTGATAAATGCATACATATTGTCGTTCTAATTTAATTAAACTGAGTGATCTATATTATCCTCAATTTCAGCTGAAGAGTGTAGCGAGTGACGAGCTGAAGCAGAGGATAGACGACACCTTGAGGTAGTGTGCTTTTAGGAAAAATCAAACTCGCCCTCCAATACCTTTTCAGGTGGGATGAGGAAGCGACTTATCATCGCCATATTTATTTATTTATTTATTTATTTTCATACTCTCAATGCCCGGAGGCTCTACAGAGAGGAGTGGGTGGTACAGATGAAATCGTTGGCAAGCTTCTTGAAGTATGTGACGTCCTGGATGGACACGATGGAGGCAGGGAGGTGGTTCCATTCGCTAGATGTTCTTGGAATAAAAGAGTCAAAATAGATGTTCGTATGACATGTCGGCGTGCCAACCTTAGACTGGTGATCGTGGCGAGGTGACACATATGACGGATGAAAAAGTAGTTGATCTTTTAGAATTAGATTAGAATAATAGACTTTATGGAAAAGACAAAGACGAAAGTATTTACGGCGTAAAGCAAGGTCAGGTAAGTCCAAAGTTGTCTTCATTGATGAAACACTAGCAGCACGAGAATAATTAGAAAGGATAAAACGGGCTGCTCGGTTCTGGACTGATTCGAGAATGTGTGATAATGTTACATGACCCGGATCCCAAACGGAACAGGCGTATTCGAGTTTTGGCCTGACTAAGGCTTTATATAATTGGAGTTTGACGGGAAGATTAGCGGAACGAAAATGGCGCCGCAAAAACCCAAGCATACGATTAGCATTATTAGAGACATAGTCGACGTGCATGTTCCAGGAAAGGTTATGAGTTATGTGAATACCAAGATACTTGTATGAAGCAACAGCATCTAATGGTATATCATTAAGGATGTATATGGCAGGGTCAGTGTTTTTAGAGAGTCGCGAAAGACGCATGCTTTTACATTTAGTAACGTTAAGCTTCATTAGGGATTCAGCGCACCAAGAAGAAACTACGTCGAGGTCTGACTGTAGTATAGCACACTCTTGGGCATTAGTAATTACGCGATAAAGTACACAGTCATCCGCGAACAATTTAATAGAGGAGACAATTTGCGATGGGAGGTCGTTAATGTAGACTAAAAACAAGAGAGGCCCTAGGACAGATCCCTGTGGTACCCCGGACGTTACAGGAGTAGTAGAAGAATTATGCCCATTGACAGAAACATATTGTGAGCGGTTAGATAAAAAACATTTAATCCAGCCCAAGATGTTAGGATCGATATTAAGTTTACTCAGTTTCAAGAGAAGTAGGTCGTGCGAGACAGAATCGAAAGCCTTAGCAAAATCTAAGAAAATGCAGTCAACTATTAGCCCGGCATCAATGGCAACCATCAGGTCATTAGTAAACGATACGAGCTGTGTTTCACAAGAAAAACATTCTCGGAACCCGTGTTGACAATTAGTAAAAAAAGAATTGGACTCGAGAAAGGCAACAAGGTGAGAGTAAATGATATGTTCAAGTAATTTACACGGCACACTAGTCAATGATATGGGCCTGTAGTTAAGTGGGGAGTGAGCAGTACCTGATTTATGCAAAGGAACCACCTTCCCTACCTTCCAATCGTTGGGTAACGTGCAACACTGCAAAGACTGTGAAAAAATTTCGGAAAGAATCAAAGATGAATAGGTGGCGGTGCTCTTCAGGAATTTTGAGTTGATTCCGTCAATCCCAGCACACGCAGAAATTTTAAGCTTCTGGATTAAACAGTCGACACCAAATGAATCAATACTAACAGGAAACATAGGACTATAATTAGGGCTGAAAACAATGGGGTAACAGGTAGGAGTCGTGTGGGAAAAATAAGAAGCAAACACATCATTCAGGACATTGCAACAATCATTTAGATCTACAGGAACATTATTCGCATCACAAAGCTCAACCGCACTGGATCTACTACCGCTGACCACGCTCCAAAACTTTCGTGGGTTATCTTTTAAAAGAGAAAAAAGTGTACACTGATAAAACTCCTGCTTTGATTGTGCGACAGCTTGTTTATATTCCGTATCAGCAGCTTCGTAAGCGTCCCAGCGCTCAGCACTTTTTGTTAATTTTGCGCGCCGAAATAACCGTTTCTTTTTATTTCGCAGACGCTTAAGGCGTGCGTTAAACCAAGGTGCCTGTGAATTAGAGCGGATGCGCTTCAGAGGGATGTACTGGTCAGTTAGGTCACTCACTTTTTGCTTGAAGAGAGACCAATTTTCTTCAACCGTTCGCGTATGAAAACGTGAGATGTAATCAGTTAGAAACGTGTCTAATTCATTATTAATTGAAACAAAATCGGCATTTTTGTAGTCACGAATAATCTTAAATGCTTTATATGAGGAAGCAGATGCCTGCAGGTCGAACTGAATAACACAATGGTCACTTAAACCTGGTAAGTATGTTAAGGGAGACACAAGCTCAGGGGTTGTAGTGAGAATGAGATCTAATACATTGGAAGAATGAGATGAACATCGTGTAGGCTCTTGTACAAGTTGCTTTAAATTAAAATCAAGACAAAGGCTTAGAAACGAAAGAGCCTGTAATGAGTGATCACTTACTGTGGGGGTGTCACTTTTCCAGTTAATTGTGGGAAAATTAAAATCCCCCAGAAGAAGCAAAGACGAAGAAGGAAACCGTACTACCAATCTATTTAAGACATCGTGAAGCTCAGAGCAAAATGTACTAGACGAAGCGGGGGGTCGATAGCAGGCGCAAAAAATAAAATCCTTGTTTCTGACATGTACACGGGCACACACGAACTCTAATGATAGGTTAAGTGGTATAACGCTCGATATTATAGAATCACGAACAGCGATAAGAACACCGCCACCTGAGCGCGAGTCACGATTGAAACGATAAAATTTGTACATACCTTCACACTCAAAAATTTCACTGTCAGCAATTTTACTAGAAAGCCACGTTTCGGTCAGGATAACAATATCAGCTGTACACGTGTCGATAAGAGATGACAAAGCGTCGCGTTTGTTGCACACGCTTCGCACGTTAGAATACAATATTGAGATAGCGTTAGTCGCCGGGCCTTTACATAGTTATGTTGATGACGCGTGTGAATTATAATTGCTTGCACCAGGTGCGGAAACTGCGTTATCGATGCCCGGTTGCGGCGCGGAAACTGTATTATTGGCACCCGGAGAGAGAGACGCGGCGTTGTTAGCTTCACGAGCGTGACTAGGAGTCACTTCGCAAACACAATCTGTTACAGGGCAGTAAGTATACACCTTTTGATTAACGTGCAGCCTGTTTAGTTTGAGCGAGAACCTCTGACCGGTGCCTTTACCGAAATCGATTAACTTTTTACGTAACTGCCGCGTAGCCGGACAGAAATCCTCACTGACTGAAATTCCTGTTCCTTTCAACTTAAAACGCTGAGAAAACACATTCGCCTTGAATTTAGAGGAAGAGAATTTAACAATTATTGGCCGGCATTTATTAGTTGAGTATGAGCCTAATCTGTGAGCACGGGATATTGCCTCGCCAGGTAGATCTAGTCCTAACATTGTGGAAAGATTATCGCGGATATGAGATTCTGACTGCGACCAGTCTTCGGAAAGGGTGTCGGCGATACCGTAGAAAAGTAAATTGTCACGACGGGATCTATCTTCAAGCTCATTAAGTCTTGAATTCAGAACGGTAGTTTCGCCTCGGACGGCCTCACTAACAACATTAGACAGTTCAGTAGGATGCTTTGGCACATCTAGTAATTCTACAAGTGATTCGACTGCTGCAAGTCTTGAATTGATGTCTAACACTTTTAGTTCTAGCTGATGCTGGTTATCTTTGACCTGATTTAGCATGTCAACCATTTCGGTATGACGCGCATCGTTTTTAGAAGACTGTTCAGCAATGGCAGCCAGAATATCAGCGTTAGTGATAGGGCCGGGGTTTAATTCAACGTCCCCAGACAACAAAAGTAACTTAAAAACGTGAACACACATATAAGCAATTCTAAGAAAAACCAGCGGGCACTGGAGGAGCAGCAGAAAGCCATTACAGGATCGTTTAACGTGAAAAGATGGGTATTTACGAACCTGCAGAATGAAGCAGAAGGGATTTTGAAGCGACTGCATAGCCGCCGCTCCTCTGTGCCCACTGAAAGCGTCCTGCGGTGACCAGGCGCTTAAATTCGCAGAGAATCCTGCTGTCGTTGACGATGATGCTGGCTTGGTGAAGGGGAGGGACGAAACTGTGGCATCGAACACGGGCGCGATGTCGTCACCGATAGCCGCCAGGACAGTGCATGATGACGGTGCAGAGATGGTGGTTGGCTGTCGAGGAGGAGGTAGCCCTGTCCCAAGGAAGGCCAAAATCTGCAGAATGAAGCAGAAGGGATTTTGAAGCGACTGCATAGCCGCCGCTCCTCTGTGCCCACTGAAAGCGTCCTGCGGTGACCAGGCGCTTAAATTCGCAGAGAATCCTGCTGTCGTTGACGATGATGCTGGCTTGGTGAAGGGGAGGGACGAAACTGTGGCATCGAACACGGGCGCGATGTCGTCACCGATAGCCGCCAGGACAGTGCATGATGACGGTGCAGAGATGGTGGCTGGCTGTCGAGGAGGAGGTAGCCCTGTCCCAAGGAAGGCCAAAATCTGCAGAATGAAGCAGAAGGGATTTTGAAGCGACTGCATAGCCGCCGCTCCTTGGGGTTCCATAGCTACGCTATCGAACCCCAAGGTAGGTTTGCAAAGCAGTTTCTGTCGTACTAATTACAGACTTCGTCACGAGGGCAGAAGGTCAAAGGATAAGAATAAATTTTATTCAAGGTATGTTTATGTTATGCTCCGGTTGACCAGTTTATTGGCGGCCGCTTGCATAAGCGATACAGTAGAAAATCTTCATAACACAAACGGATAATTTTCCTCGCAGTTTTGTGATCTCTAAAGATAAAATAGCCAGAATATATAAATGTACGAACCGTAGTGCCATGATGAGGTTTCAAAGCTACCAAAAAACAAATTTTGACAGAGCAGGTATTGGATATCCGTATCTCTTCTCATTGACGGTGAGGTATACTATAATAGTTTCACGCTTAAGAAATGTAGGGCGGAAATTATAATGTTCACGCTTCTTGCTTTGTCATTCAATATTATATCCACTGCCTTGTCTTTAGGCACATTCTATCTGTCTTATGAATGCACCAAAAAGGAAATTCACCCAGTCGGGGGTTATCCAGAACGCGGTAGGACTTTTTCTGGGACGTGGTACGTGCTCCTCGTGTTCCATAAATACCTCACACTGCTTGTCCCGCAAAGCGTTTGTGCCTGAATTCTTTCTTATTGGCTTTACATGCACAGCACCGTCCACTGGGGGCTTCAACACCCAGTGGAATCTGTCACTGGTTATTTTAACGCTATTTCTAATCGTTATTTACCTTCGGTCAGTACATATCGTACGTCCACATATTTAAACTAGTTCCTCTTTAGGGTCCACAGAAAATACGCCGACAAGCAGATTAAATTCGAGTGCATGTGTGTTTCTGTGATGTGTGTTCGTGTGCGTGACTCAGACCTATTCTAAATCTCTCTCTTCTACACTTTCCTTCGGAGTAGCCCTTCAGAGAACTAATTCTACCCTGCCCTGCGTATACCTCTTGCTGTTTTAGTAACTCTATATCTTTATAAGAAGATAAGAACGGACTTTACTAATGAAGAAATTGTTCTGCGGCTATCGGTACTTATGCGACGATAACAAGGTACGCAAGCAGAAAGACATCAAAAGTAGGGTTATTAAACTTCGATTTTTGTTTTTTGCGAGACGGTATTAATTTTATATCTTGGAACATTCATCATGATTCATCTAGGTGCTCAGTGTGCACGCTTTTGTATATGTCAGAGGTGATAATGCTGGGCGAACCATCAACTGGAATGAACCCAGAGGCCCGCCGCGAGATTTGGGACTTGTTTCTTAGCATGCGCCACAAATGCAGTTATATTATATCGACACACAACCTGGAAGAATGGACGCTTTGGGAGACAAAACATTTATCATATGCCAAGGTCAGATGCTTTGCAGTGAATCACGAGCGTTTCTCAAGAAGACATTCGGTTAGTTTCGATTATGGCACGATTAAGCATATTTTCATCATCCACATGTGCTTTCATCACTGTTCGGCTTCCATCTTGACCACGAATATGTTCACAATCAGAATATAAAATACATACCATAATGCGCAGGATTGATTGGGATCGTAATCTTGTAGATTCTCTCTTGCAGTGTTGTGTGAGATCGGCTGAGGACGACCTGTCTGACGACTATACTTTCTTCCATTTTATTCATTCATTTAATTTCATCGGCGTGACGATGCACTTTTTGCGCTGCTTTATTGGCTACATCGGATTTTTGCATCGGCTGCGTTCCGGCTTATAGTAAAGCAAAGTATAACAACGAGTTTTATCCGTCCAGAAACCCCGCCCCCGTGGCATGCCTCTGTCTGTTCCAAATTTGAAGGGATATTTGTGAAACCTTGGGCCAATAAAATTTTGTTATATGTTATGTCTGAGATTAAAAATAGGCTACCGGTCGGTGTAGCAGGAGACGAATCATACATTAGGCGGCTGACTTATATCTTAGATGTTCGACATACAAATGGAGAAGCTGTGGGATATTAAGCTGGCGGCTACACGTGAAAGCTTGTATCCTCCTAAGGCGAACATACTAAGTGCACCTGTGCATCGTCGAATCAGCAGCCATTCAAGTGGATCATATATACAAGCCTACTGACATGTCGACTATGAGCACCGACTCTTCCTATAATTTATTAATTCTATTACCTTCTTAGCTCGCTGCACTAGCTGCGTCAATCTTTATAACTGAAGTTTACATGTAAAAGTGGATCTCAGTTGATGAAGGAAAGGCACCACTATGCTTCTTTTTACCTGCTTTATTCAGTGTCACCTAGTCAAAGCTTGGTGTGTACTTTCCACAGTCACTCATTATTTAAGACGTTGCTTATAATCTTCACGTTTGTTGCTATATGATTCAATCTTTGGCGTCCTTACCGGTTAAACCCGTAACCTCATCGGCTGCGTACCAACAATAAGATGTACTGAACACACCAAATCGTGAATTCTTTATGCTGACAGTGACTATGGCGTAATTTATACTTAGGAATTGCGATTACGCCTAAGTATAACCCTCAAAATTGAATTTCAAAATGAAAATATTGGCAATGAGATTTGAAGCTACACGTTCCACTCCTGAATGCCCTGCCATGGTCTTCTGTTTCTTTCGTTCAGGGGTTGGCTACCAGGTGACTATAGAACGGCAGGAAGAGTACTTCGATCTGCAGACGGTGATGAGCATCATCATGATGATAGCCTTCAATGCAGCAGTCCGAGATTGGGGCTAAAACGACGTGAGCATTTCGCTCGAAGTCACGAACTTCACCGGTTTTGAGGACATGCTCGCCTCTCTGGAGCATGATGGGGCAAAACTAGGAATCGGTGCCATAGGTGAGTGTCCGTGTCCACAATTGAAGACGTGTGCACAAAGTGAGTGTGAACAGAATCTATCCTTTTAAGTGCGAGGCTTTTGTTTAACTATTTGAGGCGAAACATTTGCTTATTTTCTGAAGCTTGGGCTACGCTCGAAGTACCTGACAAAATAATGAAGTTTAGACAGTAAAAGGTTTGCACCCAAAGCATTGTGAATGTATTTGTTTTGATTTTGTTATACCACTGAAGTATTTTATATTAATTAAAGTTGTTTATTGTCTGTTACTGAGAAGACTAACAACTTCTTTGAACCCTCTTTTCAAAATAGGAAGACAGAGCACTAAGGCAACCTTTATCGCTTATTAGCTTTGATTATACGATCGTAAAAACGTTACCTCAAACAAATGTAGCTTTGAATGAAACAATATTTTGTCTAACTATAACCTTTTCGCAAGCATAAACTTGAATAAATAGCTGTAGTACTTCGGTCATAAAAACGTATCTGCCATGCAAATTGACCTCATAGCTGACTGTACTGAAAAATGCCACTTTTTTGTGAAACCGTCGGGAAGAAATCTGTAAACATATGTATATTTTAACACAAAGCTGATAATATATGTCAAATATTAGTGTGAATTTCTGCTTGATGTAGTTTCGACGCCGATGTAAGGTGACTTTAGGCGAATGTAGAAATAAATATTCCCGTAATTTGTTTTTTTTCTAAAATGTTTATTTGAAGGCAGAACTCTGATTTATCCGTATGTTGACCGTGGAAACGTTAAACTGGTTCGGCCTTTATTTTTTATATTGTTTCATAATCAATCGTGAAAGAGCAATGATGTCAGAGACCAACGTCATGACTCCTCCTCGTAAGAAACAGCGTGATTAAACAGGAACAAGGAAAGCAGGTCTGCCGCTAGCGATTACAGCTTGTGAAACTGCGAAACTTGGTTACACTGTGAATTTTGTTTGCGTGTGTTATGCTAAAAGAAGAAAGAAATTGCACGTTGTTAAAGACGTTGTTACAAAAATGAAAGACGTTTACAGTTCTCTGTAACGCTGGATCAGAGCGCAGCTCTTGAGGAGGAGGCGGGGAAGGTACGGAGTGGAGGGTATGCCCCTCCTCCTTATCCGTAGCCTCCCCTCCTCTCATTTAAGGGAAAATTTCGCACTAAATTTAGCAGGGAATGTTTTTTGTTAGACTTTGCGAGGAACTTTTCCCGCTAAATTTAGCAAGAAAATTTTCCAGCTAAACTTAGCGGGGAAATTTTTTTGCTAAAACTAACGGGGAATCTTTTTCGCTAAATTTAGCGGAAAACTTTTCCCGCTAAATTTGACGGAAATTTTTTTCCGGAAAATTTATCAGGGAAATTTACTAGGGCTGGGCAATTAATCGATTAACCTACCGATTAATCGATTAATGCTTTAATCGCGATTAATTTGTTTAAACAGTTAATCAGTAAAATTTTGACGAACCAAAATTAAATAAAAATGAAATGCTTACATTATGCAGACATGGACGAGCACACCTATATGAAGTGAAAAATTTAGGTGAAATATTGACTTAAGGTAAACTGTAAGGGGGAAATTTGTAACTTCAGACAAGTGCAGAAGGTTACACATGTCCCAGCGACTTGAAG